GAGAAGAAAGCTGCTGACAAAGGGGATGCTCCCACTGGGAGGCCACCTGTCCTCTGAGCAGAGGTTCAAACTGTCACCACCTTGGTGGAGAACAAGAAGGCTCAGCTGGTGGTGGTTGAACATGCTGTGGGTCCCATGGAGCTGGTTGACTTCCTGCCTGCTCTGTGTCGAAACATTGGGGTCCCTCCCTGCATTATCAAGGGGAAGGCGAGACTGGAGTGTCTGGTCCACAGGAAGACCTGTGCTGCTGTCACCTTCACACAGGTCAACTCGAAAGACAAAGGCTAAGCTGGTGGAAACTATTAGGACCAATTACAATGACAGACATTATGAGATCTGCCACCACTGGGGAGGCAGCGTCCTGGATCCAAAATCTATGGCTCATATTGCTGAGCTGGGAAAGGCAAAGACTAAAGAACTTGCCACTAAACTAGGCTAAATGTACAGTGTTGGGCTTTCTATACATAAAAATAACAAAAATCCTCCATCACAAAAACAAAAACAAAACAATGCTAGCATATAGTAGGTATTCAATACATATTTGTTGCATTAATGAAAACCGACCAGAAGTTCTTCCACCAACTTTGTGCTTGAAACAAAGTCTCAAGGCTTAATTTTTCTCTAGTTAAACTCTTCAAATCATGGCCAATCTCACCAAATGTTGATCTGACCTAAGTTCACAGTTCCTGAAAGAGACGAGTCTTCCAATCCTTTATTCAATCTTTACTCAATTAGTATTCAATAAGTGTCTTACCTGATCAAAATTTGTCCTGACTTCCCATCTGTCTATTGCGTAAAGTTCAAATTTCTACACTAGTATCCAAGAGCTCCATAATTTGGCCAAAACAGACTTCTCTGGTATGCTTCCCATTCTCTTTGGGCACCCAGAAATGTCTGATGCCATTCTACAGACGTGTCTTGCTGATCTCAGTGGTTTATTAAATTGTTCCTTCCCCTATTGTAGAAGGTTAAATAGTATCCCCCAGAAATATGTCCATGTAGAACCTCAGACTGTGACTTTATTGAGACACAGCGTCTTTGTAGATGCAATTAGGCAAGACAGCATTGGATAAGGGCATATTGGGTAAGGGCATATTGGATAAGAGCAGGCCCTAAATCCAATGCCTGGTGTTCTTGTAAAAAGGAACCAGCACTGTGTGAAGACCGAGACAGAGACTGGAGTGATGCAGCTACAAGCCAAGGAGTGTCAAGGAATGCCAAGAGTCATCAGAAGGTAGGCAGAGGGAAAGAAGGATTCTCATCTTGAGCCTTCAAAGGGAACAAAGCCCTACCACATCTTGATTTCAGACTACTAGTCTCTAGAACAGTGAGAGAATACATTCCTGTTGTTTTAAGCCACTCGATGGTGGTCATTTGTCACAGTAATCCTAGAAAATTAACATACCCTGCCTTAAGTCCTCTCTGCTGAATTGTTGTCATGGCTCAGTTTGAAAGCCACCTCTCTCTGCCACCTATCTCCACCCCAGACAGAAGCAGGTCTCCTAGATACCCATCACTCCCTGTCTAGTATGCACTATGCACACATTCCATCCCCTGAGGAGGGACAGTACTGGGTCTCATGCACCTCCTCTTGCCCAAAGATGCAAGCAAAGTGTGGCATGTACCAAGTAAATAATGAATGTTTGCTGAATACATGAACAAACACCATGCTCCCTCTGCCACAGCCAACGCAAATCCCTGATCACCTCCCATTCAGATTTCCCATAAATGAAATGGTTTCTCCTCTCTTTCTTCCCTACTTAAATATATCAATTTGTCCGGACAAAAAGCTATGGAAACTCTATTCTTGCCAGCAGCAGCTCTGTCTCAGGGCCAGCTCAGAAGCTGTTTTTCTTGCCTTTCATCCAAAGTATTTTAATTAATGAAGGCCTCGTACTGAGAAAGATCTCGTGCTGAGGGCCCCAGAGACCAGAGATATTTATTCATCCACAGAGCAGGAAGCAGACAGGTGCAGAAGGAGCCACATCTTGTTCCTTTGAGATCGGCCCCCACTCGGAACTGCAAGACAGACAGACACACAACCTGTCCCTTGACTTGTTAAGACCAGCTTCCCACAGAGCTGCCATCCTGAGTTGGGACGGATGCCAAAGCCAGGCCGGGGCACGGGGACAGACAGGGCTGTCCTGAAGCACTCTGCTCTCTGTGGGTTAGTGGTTCTCGCCTGTGACATCCAGCCCCACAGGTAATTCTGTCCTCTGATCCAACTGCCACAGCCACTAGAACACTCAACAAGGTGGCACCACCTTCCCAAGGGTGAGGCAGTGATGCCTGGTGGGCGAAGACAAGGACAGAGGGTCAGACAAGCCTGGGCTCCTTAGGAGTCACTTGCCCTTAGGTTGTTCAGCCTTTCTGAGCTTATTTCCTTGTCACTGGGTGTAACAGTCACATCCACCATGTAGATTTTGTGAGAATTCTATAAGATGACCTATTATAAGACACTTAGTACAGTGCCTGCTACCTAGTAAGCACCCAGAAATTGTAACTATTGTTATTAATGTAACTGTTGTTATTTTACTATTAATCCTCAAATGCCCATGTTCATTTCAGACTGGTGCTTTCTGACCTTGATGAGGACTCAGAAAATGATCTTCACAAGCAAACAGAAGAGACCATAAACAACCAGCAGCGGGTAATGTGATGGGACACTGGATCCAAGGACCGGGGCTGACACGCAGTTGGGTGACTCTGGTTCAGTGGCTCCAACTCTCACGAGCCCTACAGAACCCTGTTGTATTTACGGTGGGCACGATGCACACACTATAGCGCACCCCACCCCCTTCAGGAGAACCCGCTGCAGAAATTCCTTTGGGTTTCAGCGTCTAGGATGCCCGAAAATTTGCTGAACGATATTTCAAGAAGGTCTAACAAGCACTCTAAATCTCATTCCTTGCTTCCTTTTCTCCCACGGTCGGCAGGAATCTCAGGGCCGAATGTGCAGCCCACTGCAAACAAACAAACGTGCAGCACCCTCATGGCGACCCCTGCATTTCCAAACTCTTGGTCACTTTTTTTTTTCATATTTATAGGTGAACTTTCCACCGGTTTCTCCTGATTTTTGCATTTGCCCCAATTTGTTTTGAATTCTGTAGTTCTGCACGAATGTCTTTAAGATACCATAAATCCTTTGTGAAATGAAGTAGACTGCAAATAAATTACACTAAACAACAACAACAAAATAAATGTGGTATTTCTCAGCTTCCAGTTGCACACACATGAAACAGAAATGTAAGTAATGGTACCGCCTCTCGTAATGTTGTTGGCAGATGCAGTGACAGTGCATGTGTAAGCAGCACTTTGTCAAGTGTATGGCGTGATGGGAGTGTTCGTGGCCTTGGTGTTTAATCTCTCTCTGCCTCCCCCTTTCCTGTGTTCTCAGCTCAGGGAAGGAAAGTCATTGAGCTCATTAGGCATCAAAACTCCAATCCCGCCGGGTAGCAATATGGGAAAAGAAGGGAACCAACCACAGAAAGTGAGGTCTCACCGTTTCTGTCTGCTGGGCGGCAGCACTGCTGATGGCCTGTACCCAAGCTGGGACGGGGCACAGAGCCACCGCAACACATGGGCTGGGGGACCGGAAGCCAGGTGACTGAGGCGGAACACCAGGAAAGACCGTGCGGGCCAAGAATTCCTGCCTAAGTGTTCCTACGCTGCTTCTCGCAGCTTGCACGTGGATGTCCCAGCCAGCAACTGTCTCCCATCTCATTAGAGTGCAGTGGGAAGGAGGGAAATCTGAGCGTGTTAAATGTCCAGCCTTGTATGGAGTCTGTGCAGACATAGGTTGAGTGTATCATAAAATGTACTGGCCAAAGGCAATGGCTTTGGGGAAATGTGAGATGGTTTGCAAACACCCCCCCAAATACCCAGCACTTCAGAGTGAGCAACATCTGAGCAGGATAGCAGACAACATGCATTGCTTTTGAGGCACATGTGGCAAGAATTGAAAAGCCTCCCGAGGCTAAAGTCAAAGGAAGGAAGAGGAAAAAAAGAGAAGGGAAGGAGCGAAAAAAACGAAGGAGACAGAAAGATCGGCAGATGGAAAGAGCAATCGAGACTTGCAATGGGTATCCCAGTAACATTCTTCCATCCACCTGCAGCTTGAATCTTTTCAGGGCAAAGCAGGTTCTACATAAACATATGTTTCCTTCCCATGCAGAGGAAGCCCGTTATTTAACAATGTTTTAATTGGCCAAGAGTAAACTCAACTCCAAGAAGGACCAAAGTGGACCTAAAGAAGTATCAGTTCTTATCAGCAGGAATCAACATTTACAGAACATCCGTTATGCATTTGTTGTGGAACCCCACTGGACACGTGGCCATCAGCTATAATCATCTCTTTTCCAGGATGAAAGAGAGGGTAAACAGATGGGCTTTAAAACCAGAATGTAAAGTCCAAAGGCCATGGATTTTCTAATATATATGAGAATATATACATTACTATTATTTAATATTAATAGGATATATATATATAACATAGAATATTAGAATATATAATAATATTATCATAAAGAATTCTTTCTCCTCATCCATTTCAAGGGAAATTCCACACTCTACTTTGGAAACCATCATTTTGGTCTTCCTCAAAAGAATCTCTAACACCTGTATAGCTCTGCACACATTACATTTGCCTTCTTCACTTGTGTTTCTCATTCAGTCCTATGCATTCTACACAAGGCTGTGGGTGGCAGAAGATTCCGAATGTAAAAATCTCTCATGCTGTGACACACGCTACAGAAGTGTTCACTGCACAACCCATCACCTTTGCCTCCCTCTAGGTGGAGGAAATCCTCCCAGCGGGCAGGTGTTTTTGTCCCGATGGCTGTCACTGTGGCTATATCACCGTGGTTTCCTGGCTGGAGATGAGGTGAGGGGAAGGGACCAGGACAACAGTGCCACTGCCACCTTGAGGGGGCTTCCCTACAACGCACCCATGCTACCCTCTACCCTGCCCCTGCATCCAAGGAAACTGAGTTAGAGGTTACCTCGGTGCAGCACAATGTGGTCGATCATGTTGCGCTTGTATTTGGTGTGATAAAGGCAGAGAGGACAACGAAGATCTTTGGGGCCCTCCTCGGGAACCGCCGAATGCCCAGCTTCCATGTGCATAGTAAAAGCGGATCTGGGAGAGAGGTTGGGGAGAGAGGTGATGAGTGTGACAAGGGTCCTTTCGTTCACACATCTCCTGCTGCCACACTTGTCATAGGTGTCCAAGTGTGGCACTCCTGCTTGAGGGGCTTAAAAGAAATCTGTTCATCATGTTTGCTGACCACAAGTTCCTCGGTCACTCAACCGATAACTCAACACTGTTAAACGGTAGTAACTTTTTTTGGAAATTTTGCCACTTGGTTGGACTTAGTTTGAGAGAAAAGAGATTCCCCAAACACCTTATTCTTAAAAATTAGAAACTGCCTATTAAAAGTATGAAAACAAAGTCCCTAAGAGGAGCTAATTCTCACCATGCTTGGGAGGAGATGGGCTATCTTAAAGCTTGGCTGATTTACAAACTGCCTGCATGATTTGTCTCAAGTAAGGGGGCCAGTTGTTCAGGAAGGCAATCATCCTGGTTAGTGAACAGGTAAACTGAACTCAAGGTTGTAGTATCAGCTTAAAGGTAGAATGGTACCGTTACCAGTGATATAGCACATCTTATATTTTCCTGGTTAGAGCTGGAACCCATACTACTAAGTGAAGTATCCCAAGAATGGAAAAACAAGCACCATATATACTCACCAGCAAACTGGTATTAACTGAGCAGCACCTAAGTGGACACATAGGTACTACAGTAATAGGGTATTGGGCAGGTGGGAGGAGGTCGGATATATACATACATAATGAGTGAGATGTGCACCATCTGGGGGATGGTCATGCTGGAGACTCCGACGTGTGAGGGGAGGGGGGAAAGGGCATTTATTGAAACCTTAAACTCTGTACCCCCATAATATGCTGGGAAAAAAAAGAATGGTACCGTTACCTCTTCCTCCACCTTTTTCACATCTTCAAAATTTAAAAAGCTTGAAGTGTCTCATAAAAATGGATAAAACCAACAGTTTAATGGGCGAGGGCCCCATCTAATGAACTCAAGTCCTGCTCTCTGGAGAAACATGTCCGTCTGTCAGTCAGCCCTTGTTATCCAGGTTCTTTAGCTTTCCCTCAGTTCTAAATTATATACATGTTTATCTGAACATATTTATACAACTGGAGCAAATTAATAGTGTGAGATATTATACACTTCCCATCAAATTCCAACAACTAAGATATTGGTGGAAAGACTTGTTCTTTTTTTTTTTTGAGACAGAGACTCGCTCTGTTGCCCAGGCTAGAGTGAGTGCCGTGGCGTCAGCCTAGCTCACAGCAACCTCAATCTCCTGAGCTCAAGCGATCCTCCTGCCTCAACCTCCCAAGTAGCTGGGACTACAGGCATGCGCTACCATGCCTGGCTAATTTTTTGTATCTATTTATAGTTGGTCAATTAATTTCTTTCTATTTTTAGTAGAGACGGGGTCTTGCTCTTGCTCAGGCTAGTTTCGAACTCCTGACTTCGAGCAATCCACCCGCCTTGGCCTCCCAGAGTGCTAGGGAAAGATTTGTTCTTTTACCAATTCATCTTTTTCTTTGGACATGAAGCCTAATTTCTATAGCATCTCTTTGTGATGTCTGTATTAAAGTAGCTTAAGTCAGATCCTGATTGCAATTTTAGCAGAAATAGCTTTGTATCTATACTACAATAGCTAATGTTATATTATTATAATAGCCTTCTATCTATGCTATTGTAATACTTATTAATGTTTGCTTTGTGCCAAGCACTATTCTAAACACTTCAGATACACCAGTTCATTCACTGCTCACAAGAGCCCTATGAAGGAGGTACTATTATTATCTTTATTGTACAGATAAGGAAATGGAGACACAGAGAGGCTTAGTGACTTGTCCAAGGTCACACAGCCAATAAATGACAAAGCTGGGATTCAAACCCAGGCAGTCAGGCTCCACACTCTACACCTGTAACCACTAACCTAAATGTTATCTCACAGGATGAGATTAAATCGCAGGAGAAGTCTAGATTACATCATAGGAAGCATTTCATTCTTTAATTGAGCTCACCAGTTCTGTCATGCAGAGGAGCGAGAGTGACTTTTGATTATCTTTTTCTAGATTGGAACAACCTCTCTACGATTGCTCAAGCCTAGCGTTCACAGTGCTGGCATCTTGATTCCCTGTGTTTCTTTCAATACTACAACCTTGAGAAATAAGAAGTTTCTATAGGGGCAGCAGAGAAATCACTACTGCGGGATGTTTTCTCTTGATTTTGACTTTGCTTCCAGGAACGTATTTTTTTTTTTTTTCAATGAGAAAACAAAGTGGGGTGGGGGATAGTTCTCTGATAGAAAAACACTGCTCCATGCATTGGTCCAGAGAAATCCTTTGCTGAGATCTCACACTGCTCGGGAGCCTGTTTGCTCTGATTTTTAAACCCATTTGTTCGGATACAGCTCTTCCTCCCTTCCACAAACCCCAAAGCAGTCTCTGAAACTAGCCTCCTTTCTCGAAGGCTGAACTCAACCCTCCATCATCTTCCCATCACCTGTGGGCAGGGCGTCCCCCCAGCTCCAGGTAGCAAAGCGTAAAGGGAAGTAGGTGGCGAGGGGCGAGCAGGGGCATCCAACCTGCTCTTCCCAACTACTCATCACGCCACTTACTTAAAGCCCGTGTAGAAGGAGCAGTCTTTGCACTTGAAAAGCTTCTTCCCGCCATGCTTGTCCCGGTAGTGGCGCCGGATGCTCTGGATGTAGCCGGAGGAGAATTCACAGAATTCGCAGTGAAGAACGGCTTCGGTTTTCTGCTCAGGGCCAGCAGTGGCCCCAGAAAGAGGCACGGGGCTGACACGGCTGTTGTTTCTCGCCAGGGCGGCCGACTGATAGTGGTTCAGCTGCTGCTGAACATCTGGGGGCTCTGAGTATGACGAGTCTGTGAAAAGATGGCGAAAATGACACAGGGCACTCAGGACACCGTTGGGGTTTTTTGCTTGAAAACCCAACACATCAGGCTTCTCCCCACCTTGCTTTATTGAGGGATAACTGACAAATAAAAATTATATATGTTTAAGGTGTACAACATGGTGATTTGATAGATGCGTATACCAGGAAATGATTACTGTAGTCAAGTTCATTAACACATGCATCATCTCACATAGTTACCATGTTTTATATGCAGTGAGCACACCAGAGATCTCCTACCTTAGCAAATTTCAGGTAGACAGCACAGCATTACTAACTACAGTCACCATGCTGGACATCAGATCCCCAGAATTCATTTTCATTTTATAACTTGCAAGTTTGCACCCCTTCATTTTTGACCATCCTCTCCCCATTGGTTCTGAGGTTTGCCTTCTTTTTTTTTTTTTTTTTTTTGGCAGATGAATATGATCCCATCTTTTATCTTCATGTACTTTCTACAACACAGATCTGGGAAACACATGTAGAGAGGAAATGTCACCTCCTTTAATCTGACTTTGAGGGCTTATGGCATTTAAAAATAAGATTCTGAGGTTAAAAGTTTCAAAGTGAAGGAAGAAAGTAAACTGTTTGTTAAAGGAAACTGCAGTGTGGCAACAGGTCGCCACAGAATACCCGTCCTTGTAGGTGAGATAAATAAACCCACATAATGTACACAGGAGTCTACACGAGAAAGGAAAGTAGATGATGCAACATCTTTTCCTTTGCAGCCCAGATTTATTCAAGCCAACCAAATTAAAAAAGAAAAAAAATCAGTCTTTAACAGAAATGCTCAAGCACCAGGCACTCACACAAATATAAAAATGTTTTATGCCTTCACAGTCAAGTGATTTAAATTTTAAAATATAAAAATCCGATAGTGTTCTCCTGGAATGGATGTTTAAAGCTTAGTCAGCATTAAGATGGAGATTTATTCATAAATCCCATTAAAATGAAATTCCAAACAAGTTTCCCTGAAAGGTATTTTTTTAAAGTTTTCGATTCCGAGGAAAATGTCGGAAATGACAGGCACAAATCTTAAACCTGAGGAGCTTCAGGGGCATGTGGTGGAGAAATTTGATCTAGGTGGGAGGAGGTGAAAACTGAGTTTCTTCTTTAAATTAAGAAAGAGAAAAAAGCAAACAGAAAAAAAAAGAGAGAGAGAGTGAGAAATAGGGAAAGTAAAAGAAAGGTCTTGAACCTTTTCCCAACATGCTGCTTTGAATGTCGAGGTTAGGAATTCAACAACATTGTCCTGTATAACCTACAGCTGCCTGTGAATGACACAAATGAAGTCCACGAATACCACACAGATGAATTTCAGTGTAACTTTCCTTGAAAAGAAAACAAAGGGCTCTTTTCTTAAGCCTTTCAAAAAGCAGGGGATAGAAACTGTACAAGCCTCCTCCTGATTTGATGGACACTTAATTTTCCGAAGCATAATTCCCTGAGGCAGGACATGGAGGAATTCTGTAAAACCCATATTTGATGAGACCAGCACCATCCATCCCGTCTGCCTCTTCGAGAAGAAAAACAAAAGCAGAGGAGCCTCCCTGATTGTGGGGCCCCCTCCTGTCTTCAAAATATGAAAATGTCTCCCCCTCTTGTTCTCCTGTCCACCCCCCTCTCCCAATTCATATTCCTCAAGATTGAGAAAAACCCCTTTGGAAATTGTAAACAAACCTGCCACACAAAAAAATAAAACAAAGGGAAACTTGAATAATCTCTCCAAGCCTCCATAGGTTCATTACCAGGTGTAAACCGAAGACAAAGGAAGAAAGGAATGACAACTGAATTCATTTTACCGGGTTCTTTTATCTTCTTGTTCTTTATTCCTCTACCCTAGCTGATGAACCCACTCAGGATCACAATAATACAATTGTCAACTTCTCATTCTTTCTTTCAATAGCAGGTTTGTTTACCATTTCATGGATTGTTCGAGATGTTTTCTATGGAAGCCCTTAAGACTAGTTCCTGCTTAAAACACACACACACTCCGCCTCTCTTGTTAGCACAGTCTTGAGCTGCAAGTTGAACTGCCAGCCAGTACCCTGGGAAAACCTCTGTCCTCTTGGTAGTGTTGGTTCTCGTTTGCATCTTAGCTCTGTAGAATAGAAACTCTGCAACTAACAAGGCTAGAGCCAGGTCCTGATGCAAACCCACCCAGAGACCAAAACCAACATCCCAAGGAATGGTTCGTTTCTCAATAACCAGCCACAGTTCCCTGCATGGCCTGGCATACCCCTGAGTCCCACAGGTTAGTATGGGTGCTGGCAGCTGTCTCAGATAGCAGGCACCTGACAGCTTCCATCCTTCACAGCAGAGCTACAAAGAAATCCACGGCTCCTGGTCAGACAACAAGCCATGCGAATGCATCTCCCCTCCCTTCTACCCACCCCCAACTCAACACAATCACCAATCTCTTAGGCAGACTCCCTCCGAGAGAAGGGAATCTCCTTTTCGTTGACACATTCCACATTTTAACTCTGGTATTTATGTATTACAGAAAACCCAGAGAAATAAAAATGCAAGAAGTCACAGGGAAAACATTCTAAGACATGGAGACTCATCACCCTTCTTAAATGGCAGTGCAAAAGGAACAGCAGCTGTATGCCATAAATTCCTTTTTTCCTCCTGGTTAAAATCAGAGGGACAGGCTTATTGTCAAAAATAAGCAAATCCCACCAGTCATGATGTATTTGTAATAATGCCCAGGTTATAATTTTCTGGGTCTTCTTAAAGCTGTACTTTCCTCTCTGGTGCCAACATTCTCCATCTCTCTCTCTCTCTCTCTCACTTGGAATTTGTGAATAATGTAGGATTTTCGCACTTTGGGCACTAAAGTGACAAAGACGTGAGTGGGTACCATTCCACTGCTCTTTAAAAAGCCCACTTGCTCGGCTATGTGAAATTCCAGTTTTGTGCATGGAGCACAGCCTGAAGAGCAGGAAGAGGGTCGTTTTGTGCCCAGGTTAGAAAGGCAAACAGACTGTTAGCAGCGAAGGGCATGTCACATAAGTTAAAAATCATCATTAAGACTCTTTTCTTTCAATCTAAGCATAAGGAAAGAAAAGTTAAAAATACCCCTGTGTTTGGAGAGTCAGACTTCTGGTCATGGTGAAACACAGCAGCTGAAGCACATGCAAGTGAATTCAGTGGGAAACTCTGCACCCAACTGCGGGTCACACAAGGTACGTTTTTATCACCTGCGTGGACAGTGGCATCTACAATGGAACCGACAGCAAAGAGGAAGGTGGACCACCTTCAAAAATAGACCACGGCTTAGCATTACCACTCATTCCTAACCAATCAACCCTAAGACTTGCTGTCTGACAAAAGAGTTTTAATTCCCTGACTTGTGACTTTATGTAGATGCAAAGCTTTAGAAATTAAATTATACTTTGTAATTGTAGTTATAAAACAAATTTAATTGAGTTATACGTAGCTATCCATTTTTTTTAATTGTCTATCATAAGAAAAGAGTTATGTTTTGTAAAATCAGGACCAAACTAAAATTTTAGCATGGATGGTCAAAGTGCCTACATGGTCTGGAATTTATGGGGCAGCCAGACATTAATTCTCACAACTGTGGTGTACAGTGTAATTGGGTTCTCATCTCAATTTTGACAACCAGGGAACTGAAGCTGAGGATGGTTGGTCACACAGCTACTAAGATGCAGAGGCAGGATTTGAACAAAGATCTGCCTGACTGTAAAGTCTGAGTCTTGCCTATCAGGCACCCATACCCAACCGTGACCTCTAGCGTCCCGTGATACTAAGCAAAGGTGTGAAAAAGACCATGAACAGTTAACAGTTTTCTCAGTAATAAACACACAGTACAGAGAGAGAGAGAAAGTGGTAGGAAGGTTGAAACAGATAAGAAAATAACAGAATAGATACAAATGATAACAGATAGAAGAGAGAGAAAAATAACATGAAAGTAAATATGAAAGAAAACACTAAAATAAGCATTTTAGAGCATGTGAAAAAAAACAAAGAAAGCAAGATTCATGGGAAAGAAAAAGAATATCTGAAATTTCAGAATGCTTCATAAAGGCAAAAAAATAGAACCACATAGGAGACATTTCTAGAAGCACGCTGTACAGGTAAGCACTGCAAATACCCAGAATTGAAAAGCTCTCTGTTTAAATGTCATGCTTTAGTTAGATGCTTGATAAATCGTCCTCAAATAATAACACTCTAAAATTCCTCAAGTGGGATTTGGCTGAGAAAAGAAAGGTGCACAAATGCAAATGGGAGATGGGTGCTTTTCCACGGCTCTGGAATAGCTCAGGATTTCAGGCAAGGACTTAATTCCGGATGAGACCTGCTAGCCCTCTCACCTCTTCATGTTCCTGGAGAAATGGTAAATTTTTTGCTAATTCCGGCTCCTCAAAATACCAGCCAAACCCAGGTGAGCATCAGTTAGAGGGTTTTGGGTTTTTTTTTTTTTTTGGCTTTTTCCCCCAGAAATTCACCAGTTCAAAAACAATAACAAGAAATTGGACTTTATAAAGGCAAATGACAAAAAAGTGAACAATAAGCCTGACAGAGTGAGACCTTCCTGGGTATGGCCAGTTCTGATTCCACAACATTTAGTTAACACTGTCTTAGTGCCAGGCCATATGCAGGCTTTGGGGACTCAAAGCCACAGAAGACATGAGGGGTGCCTTCTAGAAACTCCTATCCATTAGATAGGAGCTGAGCAGTTGACTTATGAAAATAGAGGTCTTCTCCATGTCTAGCAAACTCACTCCGCTGACTGCAGGGATAAAAGGGGCAAAGAGGACAAATGAACAGTAACAGGAGAGTTTATTGTAAGATTACAGAAGACACAGGGAAGAGTAAGAACCAATTGGGTAGCAAATGGTGGGAGCTGCAGAGGACAGTCCCCTTACGCTGAGTGACACAAAAAGGAAGCCGTACAGAGGATCAATTCTCAATTTTCTACATTTCTGAATAGAGGGGGCGAGT